AAGACAGAGATAACAAGTTATGTTGTTCTTCAGTCACCAGAGTCTGTTTGGCCATCTGCTGCAGCCCTTTACCACTCATCTGTCTTTAATTAGACAGCAGTCACCACAATATAAATACCCACTTATCATCTCCTTAGTTTATCCTCCTGTAATACAGGCCTAAGATATCAGAGACAATAGCGGAGCGCCCATTGCACCAAGTCACCCTGGAGGCATGTCTCCACTCATGGGCTGCATTTATCTTTTATTACCAAAAGAGATGGATTGGCTGCTCCCCACCCTTATTTGGTGGTGGGGTGTGCGTATACGAGGGGCTGCGGTTGTAAAGTGAAGGCAGCGTGGCTCAGCCTGAGCGGAGCCAGGTAGCTGCCGAGTCCTGCTACCAATTTGAAAAAGCTGCTCTCCGAGACACCAAGACTCTTGGCTGGTTGTTTAATCTGTACTAGTTGTGTTTCTATCTCGCCAACTAACCTTAACTTGATATAGCTCTCTTATTTTAGCAGTAGTTGACTGTTCCGCTGTGACAAAGTGCAGGAGTGTGTGACTGCTGCTGGGTGTTACCAAGCCCCAGAGCCTGTAGCTGTGCTCTGGGGCTCACAAAAACTACACATTTCTACTTGGGTGATTTTTAATATAGTAAAACAGATGGCAAAAAGTCTGATTCCGCTCAATTTTGACCAAATATGTTGTTACAGTGCTCTAGCCTTGCAGGGCTGTATTCACAACACACTCATTGTGATCTTTTCTGAATGGTCTTTAATCCACCACCAAAACACAGCCTAACCCACAGGTAGGAGTTTGGACGTAAACAGGTCCACAGAGCAGAGACTCATCTATGAAGGAAGTCGTGCTATTCCCCAGAGACACTTCTCAGCTGCAGCTGCACCAATGTGTTTTGACCCAACACCCCGCTAAAGTGCTACACCTGACATGTGTGCCCTTTCAGAGCGGCAGGACCTATTCTCTGTGGACGGGAAGTTCATTTCCTCAGAGGATGGAGCCACACCTATTGAATTTTTTTATGCATTATTATTATTTGTCCACCCCCCCTCCCCCGAAAAAATGAAGGTTACCTGTTGATGTTCTCTGTGCTTTTCTTTGCTGCATTGAAAAATACGTTTATTTTACGCTTACAGAAATTTAGAAATGTTTTTCTGTGAGCTATACTGAGTTGAAAGTTGAATATCTCAAGGCATATGCACCTGTAATAACTGAGTACAGCTTTGTAAGTGTAGACAGAGATTGGATTGATTATTTCTCACAGTAAAAATGAATGTTTCTGACACTCACGGTGCAGGAAGATGCACCTCCCTTGACCTCTTTCCCTGACACCTACTGCAAAACACACAAAGCTTTTAGAAGGTGATAATTGAAATGTCATCACTTTCTGTGATCTCGTGGGATTGTTCTGTGTATTCATAAACCAGGCAAATATTGTAAACTCACTTTTGTCCTCACTCAGTCTTAGTTCACAGGTGGAGAACAACACAAATGGGGGGAAAGTGAAACAGCTGAACAAAGAACAAGATTATGGCAAAACCACACTATATAGCAAACTGATGAAACTGACAGACACAAGAGCAGCTTGTGTGTGACTGCTGGATGCTGTGGAAGAAAAGCTTCTTTCAGGTCCAATTATGTGGCTGCAGATTTGTTTTATTCACTGCGGAGTGGAGACAGAAGTTCACAACAAAGCAGTAGAATTCTCTCTAACCAGAGTGAGTTCTGGCCGTGATTATATACAGGGTTACAGGAAACAACAGTTAAACAGAAGGTGTGGGTTGGGTTACGCTTCTCATGAAGGACAAGGGGCCTTGAAACTATCAGCACCCAAGATGTGTATTCATTGTCAGATCAGGGGGTGAGTTGGGTCTGAGAACCCAACTCACAAGTCTAGTAGTGGATTTTGCATGGGCTCAATACAGGTCTGTTTTACAAAGCAAAAAGTGATTGATACATTAAGGTGGGATCTCTTACAGGTCTGGTCTGGGCTCTCTTTACACTACACCAAAAGGTTTCACTCACAGAGGTTTGTTAATTAATGTAAAATAGTTTCTGTCTGCACAGGGGTTACTGTTACAACTGGCAGGAATACACAGGCATTATAAAATAATACAGTTAATACAATTTAGAAACATTTTCTTTTACAATGCCAAATATTGACAAATATTACATTATTGCACAGAAAATCCCCCTAAAACATTTGAGTCTTTCCTTGTTGGCAACACAGCACCACTCATGCTATAATCAGAAAGTCAGACACCGAAGGGTTAATTGGTGGCGCTCCCAGGCAGAGAGGCAGAAGTAAACAAAAAGAGCCGGGGACTGGAGCTTCTCTGGCTGCTGAAGTTGAGGCGTGACCCTTGAGATAGGCACCGGGCTATCATGAGGGCGTCTCCCTGAGTGACTGGCCAGGAGAACAGAGAGGCCTTTGTCAGGGTTGTGTGCGAAAAAGTGCTGAGCCAAGCAGGCCCTCACCCCCTAACCCCTCCTCCCCCACGTTTTTTTCTCTCTCTTCCTCCCTGAAGACACACACAAATGCTCATACACACACTTGTCTGTATTTACCAGCAGTCCCAGGGGATGAGGCTTTCACTTCAGCTGGAGGGAGGTTAAGGAGGCGAATACAGAGCCGGTTTTGTGGTTAAAGCCTGTATATGTTAGCGATGCATTCTGGGATGCATCGTTAAGCTTTAATACAATCTGCAGCAAAGAGTTTCTAACAGTTTGCAGTCAAATGGACTTTGAGAAAAATGTCATCCTGCCTGACAAAATGTCTGGTCTTCAACTCTAAACCATGATGAAGATCAAAATAACTTATGTATCCTGCACAACAAACTCTGTGTTTACTGGTCTGCTAGCAATTTTCACAGTCAAATTTTGCCAAGAGCGCACCAAAAACATTTTTTTTTTCTTTCACTGCTCAGGCAAAATTAAAAAGTTTCACATAAAGTAGCACTTCACATTATTTTGAAATTAGGAATGAGAGTGAAAACCTGTCAGCATCTCATTAGGTCCATAATGTGCTGTAATCTAAGGATGTCTGGGAACACAAACAGTATGGTATCATTCTTTGAAGTAACCTGACACACCAAAATTATTCTTTTTTTCTCACAATGTCCTAAAGGGTAGGCAGTCTGTTTACAAATGATTTATGTTGAGCGACTGTTTAAACATACAGTGATTGTCACTTACCTTAACACGCTGTTTTCAAAAGCAGAAACAAATAGTAAAAACATTCAAATGCCTCAGCTTGCCCTAAAGCGCAACACAATGCAATATGTTAATCTTAATGAGGTTCAGGTCAGGCCTTGAAAGCGTGGATTTTTTTCCCTGAGGCCATGTGTTTCTGCACTCCCCCACATGACACACATACGTATACACTCCTTTAACCTTCCTCGCTGCCCCTGTTTAAGCAGCTGCCTGAAGGAGATTGCTTTAGTGACAGAAAAGTGAATCACAGTTTAACTAAGGTTGCACCTTTCCCCCAGAGGGTAGAGCGTGTAAAAAAAAAAAAAGATGTGCTAAACTCCATCATTTCCCTTCAGGGCTCATGAAATGCTTCTATTGTTCATGCTAAATTAACTTTCTTTCGGGGGTTTCGGTGGGTTTAAATCACTGGTGTTTAGTAGAGGTTTGTATTCAGGGAGACTTTTTGTGATTGTTGTCATTTGTGTGGCAGCAGAAGCATGTGAGGTGATGAACACATGACTCGTTCAAATCATCCCATTTCATTTTGAGCTAGACCAGCGGCAGCAAGCAGCATGGCTCTATGGGTGGCAATGTCCACCTCTGTAGTCCAGCACGAAATATCTGAACAAGTGCTGGATGGATTGAGAAAAAACCTCACACAGACATTCATGGTCCCCAGAGAGTAAACCCAAAGGACACCTGACTTTTCCTTTAGTACCATCATGGGGTTGGCATCTGTCGGTTTAATTTATGTCCCAACAACTAACAGATGGGTTGCCATGAAATCTTCATAACCACCTCAGATTGAATTTTACTAAGTTATGATCTCTTGACCTTTCGTCGAGTCACTTACTACTGTCAGACCAGTCGGCAACCTTCAGGTCTGAAAAGTGAAGTCGATGCGGAAGTGCCTTAAACTTGCATTCTTTCCAATAAGGCTGCAGGGATGACGTATTTTTGTAAGCCAGCCCCAGAAGTTAGCAGGATTTTTCCTTTGGGTTTTGGATTATTTCAGAAAATAGGCTCTCTGGGAAAAACAAGTATATGATACACTTTTTGTTCAGCAAGATTATCTTCAAACATTAACTCCACTTTTATGATTTTTTAGGCGTGAATGCAATCGCCAGAATTAAAAAGCTAACGTTAGCCCATAAAGAAGCTACACCATTGTCACATGAGTAAGAGCATACACAATGAGGCACACTAGTGTCAGTGTGATCATTTACCGCCTGATTTAACATGTAAAAGCTTCAAAATTTCCTAGAGTGGTACCCACTGACGTATTTTATATTGTGGAACAAAACGTTAACATCTCTAAACCTTATTTCAGGCATCTAACCAAAAACCCATTCAAAAAACAATTGACTTTGAGACGAAGTGCAAAAATGCAGACTCATTTCCGGGTTTTAGGACTCATTCCTGCAGCCCTCTATGGCCAGCAGGGAGCGTCTCCTCTGGTTGCAAAAATAAGTCTTGTGTAGAAGTCTATGAGACATTGTAAACATATCTTCTCACCTGCTAGTTTAAAGTATTCTTCAATGCTCCATGATGTTCATTTTGTTAATCATTGTCCCATTTCGAGTAAAGTACACGATACAGCAGGGTATGCTTTAGGGCGTGGCTACCTTGTGATTGAAAGGTCACTATGACGTTTTCCGGTCTGAGAGTTGTCCATGTTTTCGTTTTACACCTTTAACCCTTTCACGGTGTGTTTTCATGTTTATTGTAACATTTTGGTCGCCTAAAAATGTCTTATTCAGCGTTGAGTTGTACTTAGCGCCACCTTCTCATGTCACTTTTGGTTGCAAAAATCCAAGATGGCGACGGACGAAATGACAAACTTCAAAACTGTTGTCCACAAACCAATGGGTGGCTTCACTGTGACTGCCTCTATTTCTTATATACAGTCTATGTATCAGACTTTAATTTCGAAGCTTTTCATAATTATGTTGTCCATCTTCTTTGATTTTATTTTACTGGCTGTAACTTGAGTTGACGACACACAAACATGGCAGAAACCTGGATAAGCTCTTTACATGCCACAGTATCCCGGTCTGTATCAGAGTACTCCAGGTTTCTGAGACTAGGATGTGATGTTTACATGCGCAAACACATATCGCACCAGGGTACTCTTCCCAGTGTGGGTTTAAAATAAATGGCTACGCTAATCTAAGACCAGTCAAAACCAGTTATGGGAACCATGTCAGTTGCAGGCATCATTTACTTCCAAGAGGATCACCAATGTGATTTTCTTGCTGTTATTTAAACTCAACTGTGTATATGATTTTAGGTTTTCTTTAGTAAAATAAACGAAGCACAAGCAATTTCAATTGTCCGTAAAGTTTTAATGAAAAAAAAAAACAGCAATGTACCCATTCAACAACAGAAGAAAATAAGAGAAATTGTAAGATTTCGAGAGTCAAGCTCTTATGTACAGCATATTGCACTAGAAAAAGAACAAACATCCCCGTCCTCCTTCGTTCCCTCCATCGCTTCATTTCCTGCGCCATTTGAAAACTGTGCAGTAGACGCAGAGCAGTCCCAAAGATAACACAGCCAATGCTTTAACAAAAACTGCTACATCTGGACTGGGTCTCACTTCATTAGGACACATGGATGTGAAATCCTTGAGACCACTCTGAACGTAAAGAAAGAAATGTGAAGACAATATGAACTCCCCGCGCGCACAGCGCAGGAGTCTGAATTAAGTTCCACTGTTCAGTTCATGTATTAAAAGAGATATCGTGGTTTTCACTCCATTAAATTACATTCAAACCTTTAAGATACCGTTTTTTCCAGGAATGTTGGACATGCATTTTTACTCCATTTACATATATCGAAAAAAGCCCTTGAACTGAGAGTGTCACAGCAGACTTGGCAATATCCAAAATTATAAATGCCACAACATTGAAAAAAAAGCAATCATAGCAAAAAAGTTGTGTTGTTGTAGTTCGTTCTTCGTCTTCTTACAAAAAGATGTGGAAAATCTTAGCCCAAAAAAGTTTTTTTTATAAAGGTAGCAACAATAGCTGTGTCAAATCCATGTCAAATGTAAAAAAAAAAACACCAATTCACAGCACTTGACAGTAAAGATGCACTCTTTCTTGGATATTAAAAAAAAACTGATCGAAGAAATTTGATATTAAAGACACTGAAGGTTGAACGAATAGCAAATGTTTCACTTGAGTCGGGGTTGCAACAGTGGTTGGTAACGACAGGCTCAGATCAACACCAGACCGACTGGGTGGCTGTTCAGCCCATCTCGCATACAAATAATACTGGGCACCATGGTGGCTCATCCCTCCTTCAAACGTAAACCCGCAGCCCTACTAGATTGTAGATAATAAAGCACAAATACCCAGACGAGCTAGGCCGATCCAGCATATTACAGATCTTAAAGAGTTTTCAGAGGGGAAGTTCAGCACAGGAGTAGAAAGAGAGGCGCAAAGTACAGTATACAGGTAAAAAAATTGTTGTTGTTGTTTTTTTACAGTGCACATTGATTGCAAACAGTCGTTTCTGATATTAAGAAGGTTTTGCGTGGTGAAACTCGCCATTCGTGCTGAGAGATGTCAAAGGTTGAGCCTGTGCCTCGTGAAACAGATTTTTTTTTGCGTATCAAGGCACAACGAACACGCCCGTACTGTTTGTGCCAACTCGACTGTAGCGGACCATGTTGTTCTCTCACGGAGCCCGAGTGAAAGAGGAGCTGTGACCAGTGACTTTGGGGTAATTATGCCAAATGTTGATGATGACGTGGCAGGTCTGTTACTCACAAGGCACGTTTTGTACATTTGATTGTCTGTTGTTCATGTGATTTGTAAAGACTCACACCATTCCTGTGAGAAACGCACGAGGCACATGGCTTTAGTCCAACCTCCCCACACACAGGCACCAAACACACAACTGAATGCGCATCAACAATGAGAAGAAAGGGACTGTACACACTGAGATAGCATCTATACAGTAGCACTGAGCAAATATACAGAAAATAAATTAGAATAAATTATCTAAAAAGAAACAAAAACAAAATGAATCTTGTTCTTGTTGACAGGGAGTAGTTAAACATGACGCGCGATGACGACAAAGAGGGTGAAGCTTTGGACTGAAGACCAGAGTGCGCCTATCTCAATTGGCTCAGCGTTCAGTGTTTGCAGGAAACAAACTTTTGGTTCAGCATTTGTCATTACAAAAAAAAACCTAAAAAACCTCCATGTTGATGTTGAGTGAATGCGCTTTGGAAAACATAAAAAGTCGAATGAAACATCTTTGCTTGTGCAGCATCGTCTACCAACATGGAGTCGTCATTCAAAAGGCAGATCATTTGCAAACTCAAAAATTAGCATCAGGTAATTAGCATGGTTCTTAACTACTCCCTGAAGAAAACATAAAAGAGGAAGAAGAAAAAAAACCAACAGTGTCTTCAAAAGTTCATATCATGAATCTACAACAGACTGAAATAATACATCAAATTAGGAATTTTTAACATCTTATTTAAAGTCCTTCCAAGACTTTTTCCTTTATAAACCTTACATTGAGAAACAGTGGCTGTGTGTCGTTTGCAAAATGCTAACGTAGCACTTGTCACAAAGGGGTTTTTATAATATTCTCCTATATCCAAATGTGTGAGTAAAAATGCTTGAACTGTACAGAAGCTGTTCTTACTAAGTTCTCAGTGAAGCTGAATACACCACTGGCAGTTTGGTGAAAGAAAGCACTTGAATGAAAGGTGGATACATACATGTATCAGCACATCGGGATTGAATCAGTGCTCGAGACATTTACACACCGGAGTGAAATAAAATAAAAATGCATCTCGGTAACTTTAACCCCAAAACGTTTCTGCAGCAAAGACATTTGTTTAGAGGTGTATTTCATTGAGAACACAGTCGTATTTTTGGGAAACGTCCTTCTGTGGATATCAGTTTGATTGCAAATGCAACAGATCCCTAAGATTTGACTTCCTTCCAACTGGCTTGAATATTGCTCGCCCCCTAAAAAAAACGCTGATAAATGTCACCTCTCCCACAGGCGGCCCACACCATGCAGCAAAGGGCAAAATTGCGATTGTCAATCCAGCCAGAGAAAGAAATACTGAAGAAGCTTTAGAATACGATGACATTCATCCAAAGATTTTCAGCCGTGTGATTGTTTTATTAGTTCCCTGATCGTGATCCCACAAAGGAGATTTGTTTGTGCTTATTTGGTTTCAAAATGACTGCAGATTTTGGAAACAGTAAGCACGCACTCCTACAAACACGTGATCACAAATTCAAAGAGCAATCACGATGATGCCACGCATTGAAGTCACTTAATTAGAATATCTTCAGTACACCTACATTCAAGTATACATGTGTTTCGACAGGATCTGAATCTACATCATGAGTGGTGCTGGAGATGGAGAGGCTGATGGATGAGACAGGTCGATATAAAGGCCCTTACGTCTACCGTGGAAGCTGGTAAAACATCTAAACTGAGCGACAGTGCAACACCAGTAGCACCGCCACAACGTCATGACCACTTTCAAATTAGCCAGTGTGGAACACTAAAGGATAAGTACAGGGCGTATTGTTTTTTCTGAGAATAAATTAGAAATGTGCCTCGAGTCCTCAATGTTTGAAGTCAGTAACTTCAGCACAGAAATGTCCACGTCCACAGTTTGTCGCCAAAAACAAGTGGCCTAATCTTAAAATGAATGTATTTTATGACTTCCTTGATGCAAAAGTACTGTGGCAGGAGAGAATAAGGCATTCCCTGGACTGATGGAGGTCCTTCAAGACTTGAAATACCAAATAAAAAGATCAGTTTACTGTACAAAATAGGTCATCTTACAAATATTTCGAAAATATCTCTTCAAACGCAATGGCTTCTTCTTGGAGAGCGCGAAAAAACAACTACAAAACAAAAACAAAAACAAGAAAAAAATTGCAATCAGTCTCCGTCCAGCGGTGACCAGTGTTTTCTTCATCTCGTCTTTGTGTTCAATTAGAAAACAAAATCCAAACCCGTGTTCCATCCTACAGTGCCATCTTAAAAGTCTGGACCCTTGTCCCCCTGCGGGGGGGGGGGGGGGGGGGACAAGGGCTGAGGCGAGGGCTGACAGGAAGAGCCCATCATCTCTGTTCTCCTCTCAGGCGGGGGAACAGAGCCTCTCTTGGAAACAGAAAGCCAAACAGGGCCATCGTAAGGCGCATCCAGGCAGGCAGGTTTTGTCTCTGATACCTCATGAACTGCAAGGAAACAGGGAGAAAGAACAACACACATTAGCTTGTTAGCATCGGGGAGGCCATGTTAAATGACAGCTACTGTGCTCATCAGACTGTCTCACATTTCATCATAATGTGAACTGTGTTAAACCCTGTGAGCTCAAACCATATGACCTAGTAGACTGGATGTTTCCACAACATTGGCTTGTGTCTAGCAAACATGTCTGTCGCATGCACATCCTGCAGAACATACAGTATCAGGATTTCCTAGCGACTCTGGTTCCCAGACGGGAGTTAATTGCAATACTTGATTTAGTTGTCTGATGAGAGGATGAAAATGACCAGGCTAAAAACTGCAAAAACAACCCCCGGGAAGCTGCCGCTTATCATCCTAATGCCACTCGATCGTCCTCGCTGGGCTTTGAGACAGTTCCTCTGATTACGTGTCGCACTGTTTACTTCTAAACAAGGAACCTCAAAGTGAAACGCTTTCAGAGAACGCGCCGCCTATTTCATCACAGCTCTCTTGTAATAGAGGAGTCAGACGAATTATCAAAACAAAGCCGAAGGAAATTGAAACTGCTCCCCTCCTTTTTGAGCTGCCTTCTCCCAGCTCTTGTCATTTTCTTTTTTTGGGGGGGGCTGTGCAGCCCACGTGGACTACAGACAGATGAAGGGGTTCCTGCTGCAGCCTGCCATCTCCTCTCTCCCCCTCCTCATCTCTGATCCTGCACAGCTCCCACTGGCTTTCCAAACAGCCCCGCGCTCAGATATTGCAGCCTGTTGCATAAGCATTCCTGCTAGGATATCTCTCTCTCTCTCCCTGCTCTCTCCATCAAGGTCTCTACCAGCCCAGCAATCAGAGCCCGCCACAGGCTATTTGATGCAAAACTGGCAGACTGAACTGAATTGAACCAGCACAGCTAAATGTAACCCTAATTGTCCTTAATTGCCTTAATTCTACACTGCTGAGCGTATTTAAACAGTACCCTGGTTTGTTCCACATGAGGCTCCTCTTTCTGCTGTCATCGTGTGGAGAATGGTGTGTATTTTCTTTCCTTTTTGAGGCTAATGCACCCCAAACAATTAAGAAAACTAAAAACATGCATGTGTACTCAATACTAGAATGGATTCACTTTTTTATTTGTATTTCCCTGACAGATTAAGCATTTTATTGGGCCAAAAAAGTTAGTCAAAACTCACGTTTCAGACTCAAACCACAAATACAATGTACTTCACATCAACAACAACCCACACATTAGCACACACCGGCTACTTCTGCTTGGAGAGGCGAGTGAAAAAGTCTAACAATAGCTGCAGACACAATACAGAAGAAGTGATTGGATATCATAAGAGATCACTTGTGATTATTCTCCCTTTGGAATATTCCTACAACAGCAGGATAAAAAAAAACTAACTTGAGTGCAGACAGCAGACAAAAAAAGAAAAGTTTCTCTCTTATCTCTCTGTCACAGAGCTGCACACACGAACCAAAACACACACAAAGACGCACGCACATAGGCAGTCAGCGGGACAACTGAGGTATTGTGGGTAGCCGTGAGTCAGGGTCTATTTTTAGACACCGTATAAACAGCCGGCCAAGTCTACCCAGACACAGACGTGCTGCTCACTCCTGTTCGTGACAGTCACATCGATCTCACCTGCTCTTTCTCAAGCTTTAGACGGTCTTCCTCAAACTCTCTCACCATATGTCACTTTCTTTACATTCTTTCCCTCACTCTCTATTCCTGTCTTTATCAACCCCAGTTAAGTGCTTTTCGAAACTTATCGACCACGCCTCGCTGTCAACACAGACCCCCGTGAATGTAATTATTAACTAAGTTCATATTCATGGGACTTATGTGGACTCTCAGCAAGAGCAGCGACTGCTTTACAAACACTGATAGGAGTAACCCCCTGGACCTGTTATCGAACACACAGCGATACCAAATCTCGCCAAAGGAGAACAGAAACGCGTGGAACGTGTTGTCGCCTGTAAGATTGGGACACAATGTTTCCCCGTGGATTTCATTTCTTGATATGCGCAATTAATCGCATATCAGGAACTAGACTGCTGAACTATTCCCTCGGGAGCTTTGGAAACAGTGAGCCTCCACGCTCAATTACCTTCATCATGTCTAAGTCCCCAAATTGTTTCATGAGGTATGTTCAGGACAACGAAGTCTACTTTCAGGTAAAAGGTCACACGTAACAAACAGCTAGCTGATGTTATCTTAGAAATTACAAAGCGGTGACAGGGAGAATTGGTCAAAAGTGGGAGGGTGTCAATTAATCTGGTGTTTCTAGAAAACATCTGGAGCATAGAAACAGACGAGGGAGTGAATTTAACTCATTTGTTGTTTTTTTCTTCTGTCTTTGTAACACGGGAATCATATCTCTAATATTCCTATCGGCTGTAATAACATGGAATCAACGTAGTTTATAATCCTCTGCTCGGACTAAAGTACTGTTTTAGCAGTACAAACATGAACTTGACCAAAGGGCCGAGATAAGAATCAATATTCAGATATTCAGCCTGGCAGCCAGGATACTGACTGAATACATATTAGTTTTATAGTTTTAGAATTCGCATGCAGTTACTAAATCATGCAGTATTAGCGATTGAGGACTTTTCCTTCAGTGTGGCAAAGAAAGCGGTTGAATCACTGCATGAGCTATTTTTATTCGCAGCTGGTTGTGGCCAATCCAGCTGGCAAAATGTTCTGCCCCTTTTCTTCCCAAGAGTGAGCCACACATTGGCACACGGTAGCTTTGACTTGTGTCTCTAATCAAGTAGAAGCTGACACACACATACATAGTTATGACACATAACACAAACTTTTTGTCTCAACTGCTGCTGACGTGCCTCGTGATACGCACAAGCAGGCATTTATGTAACATTAATTTCTTCTCTGTTAGTCCACTTGTGATTATATTGTTTACACTTTGACACTTAAAAGTGCATATGGCTCTGCGGCCGGTTGTTTGAAGTGTGTGTGTGTGGGGGGGGGGTCATTTAACAATCCACTTCACTGTTTGGGAGTGAGGCTTACCAGTTCAACATGATCCTGTTGGAACTTGTCTCCGATCTCCCGAAGTTTACGACCGATTTGCGCCTCCACGCTCGCCCCTGCCTGCTCCTCGGGCCTCTCTGCCATCCTGTCCTCTTCCTCCCCTCTGCCCTCTTCCTCCTCCGCTTCAATCTGCCTCTCTCCCCGGTCCTCCATGGGCTCAAACTGAGCGGGGAAATGTGAGCGTAATCCAGCGTTGCCTAAAAGGAAAACATCAAGCTTCTTGAAACTTGTGTTGCTGTTGGATCTCTTCAAATTACCAAGAGGCTGTTGTGAGTGTCAGAGCCAAGTTGAATATCAGGCTAAGAGAACATAGCAGTTCAGTAAAACCACTTAATGTTTTCCTTTTTGATTTTTAGATGAGACAGCGTAAAACCTCGGAAAACACTCTGCAGACAGTCGTAAAAAATAATCTTGATTCATATTAATGGCCTCAAACACAGCTGTGTCTGACCTACGAAGTCAAATAAAGAGTATCTATTTTACACTGCATTTATATTGCTTTCTTGAGAGTTGGTATAGGTGGAAAATTCAAACACCTTATTAAATCAACAACGTCCTCGGTGAACTGCTACCTCTCTATCGTGTCACTGAGTTTACTCAGAGCCTCGAGCATGCGCTTCTGCAGCATGCCACTTGGAGGGAGAACACATTTTTTTCTGTTATCATGTGTGCAGAATGCCTCACAGAGGACCATGATACCTTTAAGAAACTGAGCACCCTGGACTTTATTCAGGAGAAGTGCATGACATCCATTAGTGGGTAGATTACAATGTACGACAAGGTAATAACAGTCAGTGGTGTTTATGTATTGAGGACTTGAAACCCTGAACAATATGTACGTCTCACACACACTGACACTGAGTCAACAAACAAACAACATTCTACTTCAACATTGGTTCAATTCAATGAGGGTGATGTCACACTGATTTGATTAGAGATGGGAAAACCATATTGGATTACGGGTGATGGTCATATTAGTGTCGGTATGTGCCTTTATGTATGTATGAAGTCAGTGTTGACTATTTTTATTTTTTAAAGAAATGGTCATTTAAAATCCCCAAAAAGAAACTAGCAGGAATGCAATTAATTTATCCGATTTAAGTTAATAGTACATTTATATAGTATTAATAAAGATAAATCTACACAGTAAACAAATCGTTTCTTAGAATGGAATGTTTCTTACGTTGTCAGCATGCGTATAATAGGACATGGGGATCTCCCAGTTACAAGGGAAAATATGTTCTGTTTTGCAGTGATAATTCAAAATTGAATTTAGTTTGTATAATAACCCAAGAACAAAGACTGACAAAGTTTGTTATCACTTGGGTCTTAGAGGAAGGTTCCCAATGAGTAACCTGCCGGATAAAAGGAATGACTAATAACGTACGGTTGTGCTAGAACACTTTTTTAACACCTAAAGCCCACGTTGCTTTCAGCGGGCTCAGATCATCTCACCCCTCCTTACCGTGAAAGGGTATGCGAGGCTGCCGGTGCAAGCTGCAGGGCAGCGTGTTGATGCCGATGCTGTTGTTGTTGTTGTGGCTCTGCGACGTGGGCACGGCAGCAGTGACAGCAGCGACGGCCTGTCCAGCCGCGATCTGTGTGGCGCGGTCTTCGTACTTGATGTCCCTAAAGGGCGTTCCCCAGAGCTGCGAGATGGGCCGTGACATGTCCTCCTCCTCATCATCCATCCGACGCCTCAGCGGTAAAGTTCCTGGAGAGGAGAAGGGGACACGAGATGAAAACGTTAGAATTAGACACGACAAGTATGTGTGTAAACGTAAAGAAAAACGTATTTGTGGGACTGTGTTTGACTCATATGTGTTCATGATCTTTAGCTGGCAGGTAATTCGGGTGCGATTTGTTTCAAGGCCAAACAAAATATGCCAAATACCATCCTGTTATCAGTTGAAACTTTGCCCTCTGGCAGATAGAAAATTATCTCACCCTGTCTATGTTAAATGAAAACAAATCATTAGTCATTATAATGCCCAGTAAGAGGCTCATGTTGTGTGAGGTAATACTGAAAACAAACAGGCAGAGATGGATAGTCTCAGAGGCACAGATGGATCTGCCAATGTAAACACACAAGATCATCTCCTGTAATATAGTGATGAGTGGCAACAGCAGCCAAACGTATGGAAACACCCTGTGCGGGGGGGGGGGCTAAAAATGCTACTCCAAATCTGCCATCCTCCTGCAGCAGATTGTTTTATCAAGCTGTTCCTGTAAAAATTGTCCCCCCCCCCCAGAATAAAAATGTACCTTAATCTGGAACAGTGTGCCACAGAGCAGAGTCACAGTCAGGAGATTTGCTACCTCCTGCACAATTCCTCAGCTCAACATTAATACCTGCTCGTATGTCCCCATTCTCTCTCTCTAAATCACACAATAACTGGATAGCTGCCTGTCTACACTATCAACACACACACACACACACACACACACACATCAAGCGGATGGTGTGCGAGTGAAACCAAAGTCCTGGCTAGACTGTCATGTGCTGCACGCAGCAGCCGTTTCATGAGGGAGATAACGAGTTTCACTCCATCCTCAACTGTGGGTGCTCCACACAAACACACACACTCTCTTCCTCTTGGCCACATGCCACAATCTGAACTAGTGTTTCATATTTTCGTCGAGGGGGGCCCAGTTTTCTTTTCTTTCCTTTTGCGGTGTGAGTGGAGACAAATGGGCTGGGTTGACTGACAAATACAAAAGTTAAAACTGGATATACTGGAATTGTGTTTACTGAGTGACGCGGCCCCTTTGGTATATATCTCTTTGTGAAAGTGTCCCCACGCCTGATGTCATATCATTATGGACTCAAATGATGAAACTGCATTTTTGAACTGTGGAAAAACACTGGCCTATCCAATTATCCAGGCCTCATTATTATAGTGTACGATGCAAGTCTCCGACTCGGGACTGTCGTTTTTTTGGTACAACACATGATTGACCCACAACGTCCTCTGGCCTGCATTATTCCCAGGGCAATTAATAGCGAAATCAGTCCGTTTTGACACTGCAAACTAATTAGACGTTGCATTACAGAAATTCAAAACAGCCCTAATCTGCATTAACTTCTCCAAATTAGTTTGTACATTAATGAATGCACCAAGGGCCTCTCTGCAACTGTACAACAAGTTTCACAGACATCAATTATGCACTTGTGTTGAGTGTCATTGGCAACGTGAGCCCTGTCTTGAAATTTCCACTGGCAGTCAACAGAGGACTGGCAAGATTACAATAGTGTCAGACACATGAAAAAAACAAACACAGACAGGGAAACACAGAAAGACATCGCGCACATACATACACTGCTACACGCACACTGCCTGGGGCAGCAGGGAGGCCTGGCAGCCACCACAGTGCTGGTCAGAGGCTCAAAGCTGCTGCAGAAAGTGGCTCCCTCTGCTGCACCATCTGTGCACCGGGCTCTCCTCCATGCACCGCTCAGGGTAGGGGTGAACTCAAGGTGAGCTCTGCTGCTATTTATCCCACTGCCTTCCTGTAACTTGGGGATGCATAATTCCGTGGATGTAAGTGTGCTGGTGACAGGCAGTAATAAAGTCATGCACACTACTTCACCTATCACTGGAAAATGATCCAATCCAGAGATCCAGCTAAATGTTGTTGTATCTGTATGGTAAATGATAATTGTGTTGTTGATGTAAGTTACTAATGAGATGCAAAAGTATTCTCTACACAGTTGGAATAAAAGTTACTAACTGCGATTTCCATCTGTGTGTTTCAAATCGGTCATTAAGTGGGCTCCGGAGGACCACCGGGAACGTGCTGCGTCTTTACCCGCATTAAGGAGCTCGATGCCGTGTGCAGCTCGCTGCGGAAACACGCGGAGTCCGCTCGCTCGTCGCTGTCGACACAACATTCGCGAATTTGACAGCTGCAATATTGTGAAGAAAGAGGATGTTGACACATGATGCGAACCACAGCCGAAATGGTGGAATACAACTTTTTTTTTCTCGCTCCAAAAAAAAAAGCAGGTAAAAGTTTAGCCTAATTTATTACTCGTGACAGCGGCACCAAACTATAGGATTTCAGAAGCGTGTCATAACAGTGTTACTCGCATGGCTCCCATTATCCTGCGTTGACACTTTCTCTTCCACTTCGCCTGACAACTCTTCCCCAAAACAAACACCTCTGATAAATAACAGAGCCGATAGATCCACTCGCGCAAAACAGATATTAGTCACTAACGCGTGGACTAAAAACCGGACAGGTCATTTGTCACTGTGTGGTGTTCAGCTACGCTTCTTAGTTAATGATCTGTAATATTGTGTCATGACAAAACAGCTACAGACCAGCGCGTGTGTCCCAAAAGATCGGGCAACATCAGCCGGGACGTGGAGAATCCGCACGCGCGCGGGGGAGGCGATGGATAGAACCAGTCACATTATCATTTATTCACTTGGTCCGTTGAAACAAGATAACTGAGCCTCGCTGAAGTGAAGAACAGGACAGAAATACATCTATACAAATAAAATAAAAGCTCCCTTCCATATGCCAACGCTCCGGTAAAGTCCGCTCACCCCCTATCTGTCCGGGCATGCCCAAGCTGCGCGCACATTTGTTGACAAATCACCAGAAAACAATGAAGCACGCGTCGGTGCAATGGTGCAATATCTCCCTTTTAAATGTTGAATAACCGAGCGTTACACTCACCGCCAGCAGACGCTCTTTCCGTTGTGATCGGTGGTATCTTGACAACTTGCCGTTACCTTGTTTTCCACGGACTGCGTTGATGCGACTTGTATCCCTCTTTGCATTACAGCCACTCGTACATGTTTGCTGACTAGAGCGGGGGTTGTTTTTTTTCCCTGTGTAAAATTAGCGGTCCGCCCCGATGACTGGGGAACCGCCCCTTCTTAATAATGTGGACGGTAGAGCAGAGTCAGCGACACAGGTTATGCAAATGAAAAACACACCTAAGGGATATTATATATCTCACATGTGCACATATATTGTGCATGCAAAATGTTAATTCGCAGTAGCCTAACTAATTATGAAAGAAATGTATCAAATGGAAGTAGGCCTACTAGAGTAAAGCCCAAGTACCTCAAATGTATACTTAATGCAGCCTAAATGTTTTAAACTACGACCAAACGGGTTGATGTCATCTTTTGCCAAATCAATCCACCATTCTATATTTGGGTGTTTATGCCAAATAACTGCAGCATTTATAATAAAAACATTTAAAAGCTGCTACATATTCGAACTGGTCTATGCATGACATGTTGAGCTCATGCTGTATTGTTTTTCAGAGATGAAAAAAATAAATCGCGTCTGGCCCTTTAAGAGAACGGTCCTCCTCGCGACCAGCGGTGAACCAATCAGATGGTTTGTTTTGGTCCCGCCTTCTGCTCCGTGTATCTAGACACGTGGAGGGGGAAAAACACAAACCCAGATAAGGCATGTGACTGCTTTCAGCGCTCGCTCAGCTGATTGGGAGCTGCTGCTGGATGGAGTGATTACACGCACCCAGTTACTGCTGTGATCGGTGTGATGATGAGTTGTGTAGCCTGCTGTCATGGCAACAAATAGATTAAAAATGTCATAGTCACACATGCAGTGTCCCATTATATAGCATGATATATGATGTGTTTTATGTCTAAACATGTGTGATGTAAAAATGAATTGAGAGACATAACATACATAACATAACCAATGATTAAATGTAAATAAGTACATTAATTTAAGTACTGTGCTGTATTTAAATGCAATTTTGATGTACGTCACTTGAGTGTTAACATATATAATAGTTACAATTATCTCCACTTTGAGCAGCTATGAAATGAAAATGTTGTATTACTATTGTATCACTATGATGTAACCCTCTTCACAGGTGCTTTTAGAGAAAGAAAAAACTAAATACAGACAGACTCCTGCAACGAGTCCTACTGCATCTGGTGCTATGTTAATGTGAAAGTAGAAATCAAGATGGTAGTCATAGTCATAATTTTTCCCATTAGTGCTTTTACTTTTGATACAACTTGAAAACATATGTATTTATGCATACCATAACATAATCTAGCATAGCATAGCATTATATAGCATAGCATAGCATAGCATAACACAACACAACACAACACAATATAACATAACAAAACGTAGCATAGCATAGTATAACATAGCATAACATAGCATACCATAGCATAACACAACACAATATAACATAACAAACATAGCATAGCATAATATAGTAGGATTCATAAATGCATCCTGGCTTGGTAATGGCTTGACAACAATGTATTGATAGAAGCATTGAGCCATTTTCAGTTCGGCCCCTGAGGGCATCCATTGTTCAACATGGTGTCTGATGGATGCACTGTGACAGTGGACTAAACAGCAGCCGTGGCTGGTGACCCTCATTGCATGGTGGGGGCACGCCTACCCATGGCATCACTCAAAAGAGGAAGAAAAAAAAAAGTACAGTGAAATCTGCAAAAAGGGGTTACTGAGTGCAAAACAGCCAGTCAAGAAGAGTGAGACTATTTGATCCATCGCGTGAGTCAGATCTTTCCCAGGAGACAATCTCTGGATGAAAGCAGATGCTGTTGCTTTCACGTGGCGTGCTGGTTAGCCTGTGCAGGATGTTATGTTTTCACACCGTCCCGCTCCTTCATTGTACAGCTGGTTACGTGTGAAGTGTGATTTTCTCAACTTTTGACAACATTCCCATGCTCAGTTTACTGGCAGAGCAGCAAACAAACCCTGCTCAGCCTTGTTTAAGCTGCCGCCTGACGGCTCCCAACCCCCCATCCACACCAACCCCCTCCAACTCCAATCCTGCAGCGAGAGGGACCCCACCCAAAATTTGGAAGAAGAGATCACATGGTGGTTGTTTTTGTTGAAATTTCAGGCATTGCATGCATAGTAATGAACAAAAATAACACAATTCTCGGCTATTTTGTTAAATCTCCACACCCAATCTCCACAGCAAGTGTTGAATCCCATATGCATGCTGCATTAACAATATAGACAATACATAGGAAAGGTAAACCCAACTGAATTATTGCTTGTATAAATATTGCTACTCTTTCAACTGCATTTTGACCCAATGGTATAGTATTAAAACTGTGATGGTATTTGTATTTCAAAGCTGTAACATGAAGACTCATGTAGGTGTCAACAGTTTTATGTTGGCAGAAAATACTTTACTATTTCATCTGTTGAAATATTTATGATAAGAAGGACACAGCTTTGTAATCTGACAAAAACAACAACCTCATCATTGAAGCCCCCTTTGAAGAATAAACAGCTGGATCTGAAGCTGACAGAAAACAAGAAAATCACTGGAATTAAAAAGTTTAAAACATCAGCTTTGCAAGAATTTAGTGTGGTCATTTAAAACAACTTGTCAAAGATGCAACATTTAAAAAAAATAATGAGTCCACTGTGTGCTGCATTCGAAAAAACAAAGAAAAAAAGCAATCGAATCGCGGATTAGCAGTTCATCGCTTTTTTTCTCCCCCGAGTTCCCTTTATCAATAACTAATTAATGTTCCCAAACAATAGCTCCAAGAATAGTGCGTTTCAATCACATTCAGTTATCCCCTTGTCAGTGGACTCTGGGGTACACAGTCGTTTTTCATCAGTTAAACTGCAGTTTGGTGAAGTCTTGTTGTCTCTTTGAACGCAGAGCTGTTAACCACATCTGTGTTGCAAATCAGATTTTTTTCTTCTTCTCTGTTTTGGCAGAGAGCATAACATGATGCGCTGTCAATGCAAGAGACTCAGAAACACAAACGTCATGCATTGTGCAATCTCATCCACTGTTTTAAGTCATTTGCATTCTTTTACTTTCAAGCGTGCTGCTTCAGCCCCTTTGAAGAGGGAAAACAGCCTTTGTGTTGGCGCTGAACTAAGAACTTGTCATCTAAACTGAAAACTTCCAGTACCTCTAATGTGTCAGGTGCAGTGGCAGACAATGTGTCCCAGCCCATTTTTATTCAAGCTTTTTTTCCCCAGCGAGGAAGTCAAAAATTATCCTCAGTGAGTTATTTCTGACTACGTGCTGCCAGAAGAGGTGATAAGGCTCTGGATGTTGAAATATTTCAAAGTTCACTGCATAATGATACAATTTGCTATGTGACTGTTTCCCTAATGGTGCCTGACGTCCAGACGCTTTGTCTTCAATCTTCAATCCGTTCCGCACCCAAACAACTCCGCCAGTGTTTGTGCTTGTACTCCATGCACTTTCGCATCACAATTTTATGGTTTCGATCCCCATGGCATTTAATTATCTTCCCAAATCTCTGTTTTGGGAGGGTGTTTTTCACATAAATTGATTGTGAAACTACGTGACAGCGATGGCAAGATTTCACAGGTTATTGGAAACCTCTGTCTGCCTCCAACCCCTCCTTCTGTCTATTCTGTCAACACCTCTCAATTTTAACCACAGGTACAGCAGGGGCTCAGCCAATGAACGTGGCTCCCACGGAGTTCATCCAAAGGTAACACATTCGAAGCCCAGAACCTCCCGAGGGAAACCCTTACCATTATGCGCATTTTGACACCACTTTAATGCCATGAACAGAGCTGGCTATGTTTTGGATGAAGTGTTGTATGGAAATGAATTTGTTGCATTGTGTCTTTCAGTTTGTCATGATTCCAGCTGCGATGGCAAGTTGAAATAAATGGACGCTTAATGATTACCGAGCAGCAGCAGCTCAGGTGGTAAACAAACCATTTGTCAGGCAGACTAGACTGATGATTCCTGTGCAACATCCAAAACAGTTCCAACATCCAATTTGCAGCTGTCCTTCCACTGTATTGATATATATATATATATATATATATATATATATATATATATATTGTTGTTGTTACAGTTTGATATTGCTGAGATATACCTTTTATTACTATTTCCAGAGTTCGTGGTTTCCTCCTCCAAGTGCATCATGGGAGAAGCTCCACATAGTGTGATTTTACTTGTGATTGTATCATGAAACAACATACAGTATACATATTATTGTCCAAATCATTTATCTGTGAGTTGTGAGAAATCTTTACACCTACATATTTAGCATTTCTTCTCATCAAAACTGCCCTGACCGAGCTTTTAGGTTGGCCTTGCGGTTCAAATGTGACCTGAAAAGACAGCTGTTTTAATTACCAGTGACAAAGTGCTCTTCAGCAAACCACCACATTACAACACTGGACAAGCACTTGTACAATTACCTTTGTGCAGAAATGTAAAAGCATGCATCTATGGGAAGTTAAAGGATAATTTGGGGTTTATTGAAATGTAAGATCTTATTTTCATAGTTTGGGACAGTTTGGCCGTAGTTTCAATGTAATATTAAGATATCGCTTTACTCACCAGTGTAAATGCAGACATTAGAACCCGGCAACTTCTGTCTGGTGGGGCAAAAATCACAAGCAACCTGATAATCAGACAGGTTGTAAACAAACCGGATTACTCAAACCACTCTTAGAGGGAAACAGAAAGTAAGAAAAATGTAACTCTCAGTAATGATGTTTCATTGGACAGGAAAACTATGTTTGCAACTTTGAACCAGGAAGTGGTTTTGTAGATGGATGTTTATGGTTTGGTATGACTGTTACAGTTTATGGGGTTTTCCTTACTTTCTTCATAATTCCTCCTTGTATCTCAGGAATTACCTCCATATTTGATGATTTCACACCCCTAAATTTACATTCAATGTATTCATGTTCAGTGCTAACGCAGGAAGTAGTGAGCCCTTTATTTGGCACGGCTCAAAGTGAGGGTGTGGTGTTGTTAGTCTGACTTCTGTCTTTCCAAATCTCAACAATTGAGC